GATACAATATAGTTGTTGATTCTGCATTGGTGTGTTTCGTGTAATCGGTTGTCACTCATCGTTGCAATCGGTACACTTATCAGGTCCCATCAGTGGTAGGAGGTCTCAACTATTCTCAAGAAGGAATCCAAAATATATGTAAACTAACTTTTTTCATTATGAAGATTCCATCTATGAGATCGACAAAAATCTCAAACATTGCCTATTTAAGATAGAGTCTATGCTGATATATTAAAAAACTAACCATTAGCAAAGCCAGCTTGACATTAACTGGCTTTACAATAAACCATCATGGAAATGTTCTACAGTTTACACTATTTTACACAAAATTGGAAAATTCTACACTTTCAACCAAAAAGTCTGAACTCAAATATATTGGAATTTATAGAAATAAAAAAATATCTTACTAATAAAAACAACTTTTCAACTTTTTTCTGAATGATCGAGTAGTTATTCATAATTCTTCAATCATCAATAATGTTATTAGTAATTTCCCAAAGCTGCTTGATACCTCGCTCAATCTAACAATGCAACTTTCAGTGTTTAGGGGATGATATCATAGAGTACATTTCCCCCCTTCAATATTTTGAATGAGTCCACTCGAAAAATTGAAATTTGGGATAGTGAAATAAATATGGGATACATCATTTTGAAATGAAATTTACATATTAAACTTTTAAGATAGCGACTGGGCGCCATCTGGGAAAAAATTAAATGGAAAGGGGGATGTCTTGTGACACATTTTTTTGAAGCTCCTGATTAATGCTTCAATATCTTCAACCACTACAAAATGGTACTTTCAAACTACATAATATGTGTAGTGTCACTATTTTCCGGATGAAGGCCGTGGATTTTTGGAATTTCTTCCTGACGTTTCGCTGTCGCGAGAGGCTAGCTTCCTCAAAGGTTTATACATTCTGTGTTGATATCTCCGATGACTGGATATTACGGCTGTGTAACGCATATATATGTTGACACCCCAGATTGTTTGGTATGTCTGGCTTAGGTAAATTACGTAAAGCGTATTTATTTCAATTCAGATAGTCTGTTCTGATGATACTTGTGCCTGTATTTGGTAAATTGTCAATAACACCCGTTGACCCTCTACCTACCATCATGCTGTTTGCCATTCTCTAACTTCTTAGAATGGGATTCCATATTCAATCGGTCATGGTATCTCTGGTCGGGGACAATGAGTTTCGTTTTCTCAAACAAAATCTTGTGGTTTACTCCATTGAGTGCATGTTCTGCAACATTCCACTTGTCAGTTTGCCCCCGACCAAGGATACTGTGACGTTTTCCTCCTATCAGCGGCAGGGAAAAGTGCAGCTCCGGCAGCTGTTCGTCTTGGTGAGCAAAGGGTCGTAGGAATTTGAGTGTATTTCTTAAAGAGAACGTTATATAAACTTATTGAGGACGCCACCTGGCTAAATGCATTATATAAGAACGTTAGTTTTACCAAGCCAGGGCGACAAAACTGAATAATGAAGTTATTCAAAATAAATGCATTATGTGCGCATCCTGAAAATAAATCTGGGCAAAACAAAAGGAAACTTGACCAAGTAGGCAGTTATAATTTCGCTTGTTGGGGAAATATACATAACAGTTTTTATTGTATTATAAGGTGTTACTTTTTATGTAAAAGTATACATTTGAATGCATAAGTATTTCTTGCAATCACCCAGTACTGCGTGTTAGCTTACACTTGATGATATTTTCTTGTCGAATATGATAAGTAATAAAAAAATGGTAATAAAATAAATCTGGCCTGTTATTTCTGGACTAGATAGTGCTGGTAGGAGAATCAGGATCGGGCTGTTGTTCGCCTTATTTNACAATACCCTAACGCTGTAAACCTCAATCGAATATGGAATCTCATTCTGAGAAGCATAAGGTAGAGAAGGATCAACGAATGGTATTGATCATTTATCAGTTCCAGGTACAGGTTATTATCACACCATACTACCTGAATCAACATAAACACGCTTTACGTAGTTTACCTAAGCCAGTTACAGGTATTAGCACACCAAACCACCTGAGAAGCCAACATAAATACGCATTAGGCAGCTTCAATATCCAGTCATCGAAGATATCAGATGTATGAACCCCTAAGAAAGATAGCTACTCGTGCCAGCTAAAATACACGGCTTCCAGACCCGGAAAATAGTGACACATATAGTATACAGTATACTGAAAACTTTTCCAATCATTGATGTTTTAGATGGCTATACTGAACAGAAAAAATATGGAAGAATTAGGGCAGATTGGACATATTGAATCAATCATAAGATCTGCCATGGATTTTGATTAGAGAACGCCAAAAGGTTTCAATTGAAAACTATTCTTGTTCGATACATTGAATGAAAATTGTTTTCTCTTATCGGAATGAATCAGAAATATTTTATATCGATACTATAGAAAAAGTCAGAGGTGTTACTTATATATTGATGATGCAAGCTAGCAAATACAGAATTTTTATGGGAAATGAAAAAAATGTTTTCATCGAAAGGATCTCGAGTCAATTTATCTCTGGAACGAATATTTCAAAATGTGGCCTGCTGTATAATTGTTAACATGTTTTTTTTAATTTTTCCTGCAAATTATTGTTTCTAAAGCTATTCAGGGTGGCTGTTTTCAACTCAAATCATTTGTAGCTCCCGAACCATAAGCTTCAGACCATATTTTTTAAACTTAGTTGAAATATGCTCATCACGGAGCATCTGATAATGCGAAACAATATAGGGTGATCCATCAAAAAAAAATTGGTGACATGATCTGAGGGTGCGATAGGGGAAGTGACATCAAATGTGAAAATATTTTTCCTGAAAGTAATTGTACCAAAAGTTATTCAGAATGGCTCGTTTTAAATGGAATGTACTGTATATAATCTCTACATTTGAATGTGTACTGTTACTGTCCATCTTGTGATATCTCCTAAATTTGATCTGCTACTCCTCTAATCTATTCATTGTGTAGTCAATAAAGTTTACTCAACTTCACTTCACTTCAGTCATTATTGAATGACTAATTTGTTTGACAAAATTTTAACAAACAGGCTACTAATATGTAATTTAGAATTTTCGTAAATATTTTGGTTGCACCATTTTTCAACCAGGGTATCTCTAGAATACTTTTATCATAAACGTTGGTGTTCCTCAGGGATCCGTATCGTCTCCAATCCCTCTTTTTTTGTACATCAACGACTTATTGGAAAAAAAACGAAAATCCAATATACTGCTTTGCTGATGACAGCACCCTTGTCTCGACGTTCCATTTGGATTCCAGGACATAGGCTGTGGATGCACATCTTCACCGGCAGCAGGAAATTGCATATCTTAATGAGGATCTAGAGGTGATTTCGAATTGGGGTGAAAGTAATTAGATTCAATTCAGTGTCACGAAAACTCAGACATCGATTCTCTCCAAAAAGATAAATGTCTCCGAACTGAATATAATCATGTCGGGAGTGAAAATTCCGCTTTCTGCTTCGACAAATTTGTTGGGGGATTGAAATGTATACCAATATATTTTGGCACAATCATGTCGCTGGAATTGCAAAGGCTGCTTCTCCAATGCTTGTTCCGAACCAGATGCTTTATAAAGCTCAGGTCAGACCTTCTTTGAAGTATTGTTTTCATGTATGAAAATTCGCCCCTGAGCATATCCTTAAGCTGATGGATACCATCCAGAAAAGAGACATCCGCCTGATTGGAGACACGAACATCACTTGCAACCTTGATACTCTATAACATCGAAGAAAGGTTGGAGATTTGTCACTTCTTTATAGATACTTTCACGAAAGGTGTTTACGTGACCTGGCACATTCGATTCCACCAAGAGCGGTACACATCAGAAATACGCGACGGACGGTGGCTGCTCATAGTTTTGAGGTTCAACTCAGTACACTTCGAACTTCACTGTTCAAGGATTCTTTCGTCTGTAGAACTGCATTAATGTGGAATAAACTTCCTAAGGACGTTTTTCCTGATGAATTCAATCTCCAGCGATTCAAATCCAAAATGAATCACTACTTTTGCACAGGCACCGCTCTTAGAGCGCCTTAACGATTTTTCTGTAGTGATTATATTTTGTCTTAAAGGGAAATCTTAGTGTATTGCTTCAAAAGTTTCTTTTCACAAAAATTATCATTCCACAACAAGTAATGGAGCTGTTTTCTTCCGATATGCTGTTGGCTATTAGCCTGAATATATTGACATTTAACTACATAATATGAGGTAATGAGCTTGAGGTTAGTTCAGAAGATGCTCGAAATAATTGTCTTGAATTTTTTGACATATGAACAGCCTATCCGATATTTCACGCCGAACATTTTCGAAAACAGTAACGTCTGTATCTCTATAAGTATTTATTATTCTCTGCCGTATATCCAATATTGAAGTAGGTTCAGTTTCATACACCTTTTGCTTCACATAGCCCCATAAAAAAAGCCCAAAGATGTCGAATCTGGCGAGCGGTATGCAATTCTGTAGGACCTCGACGGCCAATCCAACGACCGGGAAAAGTAGTATCCAAATAGCTTCTTACTTGTCTGTGGTAATGTGGTGATTCTCTCACAAACATTAAATTATTATATCAATGATTCGTTTCACATTAAATTGAAACCTTTTCGTTTAGAAGTATTTGATCAAATAGTCAATTAAACCTTCAAAAAGAATATGTTGAAGAAGAAAGTAATTCAAATCAGAAATTATAAAACTACAAAAATTATTTGGCGATCTGGGGCGACTTCATTGATTCCAGAGGCGCATTTGCTTTTTCGGCTGCAAGATAACCCGGGATAACCCAGGATCTGTTCTCTCTCTCTCATAAAACAAAATGTAGGGTGTGTCCAGAGGTTCCAATAAATTCAAGACATCGCCAGAACACTTAGTGACACGACTATTGTCAAACGTAAGCCAATACGTAATAATCACCAGAACCACAGTGAACAATGACTGCATGAGAATTATAAGAGTGGTCTGCTAGATAGCAGTGTTCATCTATTTCTTGATTTCATGCATGCTAATAATTTCAAATATTTCCTGCCTAAAATGCCTACTAATATATCCTACCATTTCATCTTCTCTCATTTTTGGTTGTAGATATTGTGCTGTTGCATATAATTGAATTGCGTAATTATTATAATTTTGACTCCTGCATTCGTCAAATTTTCCAAATTGAAGTTTATCTCTTATTTTCAATTGCGCATTTTCCCCCCAATACTGTCTAATAAATAAATTCTCAAAATCTTCAAAAGTTTGAATATTGTTTTCCTGGCTGTTGAACCATATGCATGGTTGATTTACCAGATGTTGCCTAATTATGTCTTTCATTTCCTCACCCTTAATTTTGTTATTAATTTTATTCTTTAAGATTTTAATAAATACAATTGGATGTAACTTTTTAATATTGCCCTCAAATTTGTTATTGTTTTGTACATTTTGGCACAGTCCTATGTAGGTGGTTTCTACTTTGGTTTTAAGTCCATTTTCCTCTATTTCCCTAATTTTATTTTCTAAAGTGATGAATTTATTTTTATTTTCCTCATCTTTCTCATTGATGATTTCATTTGTGCTATTTGTATTTATTTCTAATCTATCATTTACATATTTAATTTTCCCTAACACTTCTTTATT